AAAAACGATAATGAATTCATCAAGTAAAGGGCAGCTGTCGCGGAAATCGGCATATCTCTATCTGGGTCGTTAGGTGCTCTATTCTATATCTTCTTGGCGTGTGGGAGCATAAACTCGAGGACCCCAAATGGAAAAGTGAGGAGGGTGTTGTGGGGCGCTTTCCAACGAGGAGTTGTGTTTTATTTCGAGATACAATAGTTGGCAAGCGTAAGACTTATCACGACACAGTGGACAGGATGAGACCGTTGGTGACACTCCTAGAGCACGATGAGAAGCTTGCCCAAGGTAGGGTCAACTGCAGGGTAGTCGGGGGTATGTCACTACGTTGTGCAGGGGAGGAACGGCGGGTTCCTGAGGCTGTCGTGGACGTCCTCAAGGGGGTCTTTAAGGAGATAGTGAAGAGAGAGTAATATCTGCATACGGTGGTTGGGTAGTCTTCTTATGAAGGTATGTCGAGGCTAATAAACTGTATCTGGACATGACCGTGGGGAATCAGCTGTGGCCCATGGGTGGTATCAATTTGGGTAATGCTGGCCAACTTGGGAGTCGGCGTCCTTTCACGGTGTGCGACAGGTGTGGTGCAACAAGTGTGCCGAAGAGTGGAGGAGAAGTCGCATCTGTTGGATGATATTGAAGTAAAGCGATACACACAGGGCGTGAAGAGGCTCATTACAGTGGCCATGACGATGTGGCCCAATAGTGACGAGAGTAAAAACTTTCAACCTTGACTACGCTAATTTTTGGTTTTCGAGTGGTAGGGCCTGGATATGCTTCCAGTTCATCCGTGTTGATGTCATTCTGATGCAGCCGTCGACTGTGATCCCCCACACAGCGGAGATGGTCCTTAAGCCTAGTCAACTGGCCTTCAAGATTGTCCAGGCCGTGGCTATGGGCAAGCAAGAGCTGCTTAGAGAGGATCTATGCAAAGCTATTACAGAACAGGTGGGATGATGTAGACTATGTCGAGTATCATCGTTGTTGAGTTCAAAAGTGTATGTATGCGGCATTGCTTGTGGAATGACCGTTGCTGCCTTATTAGCGGTGCGTGTGTCGGTCAGATGAAAGCGAGTTCAGGGAGGTGGAATCCTGCTCGGCTGTGCTCTGTGCTTTTTCGAGTGTCTCAAGTGGCCCCTGGGACTACTCTACTCCGAGACATGGTCCTGTCGGCTCATGAGGACCTAGAAAAGGTATACTTACTGTTGGGTCGGTCACGACTCATCAGAGCCCTTTGTATAGGTGTTCCTCAGGCCTTGAGCACCTCCCTGAGTCGGGTCTCTCGCGGTAGTACTAGAGAGCTCTCAGAGCTGGCCATGGTCCTTCGTCGTGTACCTACTACTTGTGACAAGGGAGAGTAGGAATGGGTGGTGCTATCAATCATCGTAGTAGGGGTTCCCTCTCAGAAGAGACGATCGGAGGCTGTGGTCCCTACTTGGAAAACAGATCCCCAGTATAGGACCACATATGGAGCTGTTGGACTTAGCTTTCGTGGGGGTAGCTCTACAGGACTGTCCCAACACTTTGAAAAAGTAGTATTTTGTATTTTCTGGTCGGTCACAGTAGACCTGCGACTTTACTATCCTCTTTAGCGTTGATGCTGATGACGTCGATGCGGCGTTAAAATGGTTAGCAATAGAGCTGTGTGAGCGGCTACTTGCCATGAGCTCACAGGGGGAGGAGCAACAGAGTATTTTGAATATAAAGGCTGTGATACTATCTTTGGGAGTGTAAGAGCAACGATAACAACAAGAACATGCTGCGCCCCACTTGTCAGAATTGGAAAGGCCCTTCACCATGTTGAGCTGGAGCAAGGGAGGTTCTTGCAGGCGCTGCCTTCGTTGGTTGAGGACATCTCCTCTCGAATCTCTACCGTACAGGTCTCAACCGCGTTAGCCTTGGGTTGACCTTGAAGACTGCCTTTAGTCACTTGTCGCTCTTGGTCGGTCCGTCGCTGACTTCCCTAAGACGACGACACCATATACAGTGCGGGCTATGGGCACGATAGTGGGGACACTGCATGGGATGGCGATACCTCAGGTGTAGGCTAGCAGGGCAGGGCCATGGGTAGTGGACTTCATCGTTAGGATGTCCTCACCGGAAACAGTGGCCGAAGCTGTGAGTGTGGTAACCCAACTGGTGCGTCAAAACAAGGGGACTATGCAGGTTGAGGATTATGATGGAGCTCGGAGTTTTCTTGAGAGGATCGCGCGGGAGGTGACGCTATGGGCAGAGCAGTGTTGGAGGAATATATGTTCGCTTCCTTCTAGTGAACTATTCGCTTTCCTCAGCTGATGAGCTCAATACTTTCCTCACATATCATAGGAGTTTATATACGAATTGGGAGAGTATACAAGTAGTGTCTAGAAACTAACAAGGATTATCCGAAATTTCTTGCCGAGCCTTAACATGGTCACCAACACACGTGCTTGACCATGTACATATTTCACTTTACTGCTCAGGAGTTTCCTCACTAGTGACAGAAGTTTCGAGTAGGAGTGTCCAAAAAGCGATGAGAATTTTCCAAAACTTCCCCAAGTTTTCCATTTCGTCGCCATTGACCATGTGCATATTTTTTCATACTGTGTAGGTGCTGATACCAGTGCATTTGGACCACCCATTCAACCTCCATCAAGTCCTGTTGGTCTGTCGAGGGTATCGAGCTCTCAACGTACGACTGCCAGCTGTATTCAAGTTCATCAAATTAGCAGTGAAGGTCGATAATAGCAGTTGTAATAAACTGGCCCTAGCTGAGGTAGCTTGACCGTTTCTAATGAGATGGCGTACTGACGCTACACAGGTGATGGAGCACTGCATAGCCCTGGGCTTTCAGCAGCCTACGAGTGTGAGTGTTTCTCATGTAGTGCGGAACTATGATGGGAATCTCATCAGTTTTTTGTTCCCATTGTGGAGGCCCTATCCAAGGAGCCGAAGTACTCGAGGACTAGTAAAAAGCTGCGGGAGATGCTTCGGAAGATTCAGAAGGAGTCCCAGAGGGATCGTTCAACTTACCAAGAGCTTGCATGAGTCGTGTTGTTACTTTGACGTTTCTGAATGTGGCATCTCCAGTTTAGCGTTAAAGTACTTTCGACAGCTCCGTAGGCTACTACTAGGTCCGAGCAGGGGGCAGACTCTTCCCTCTCTCACTGGAGGCTGTGCTAGTCCCAGGACTGTAATGCTGATGACATCAGAGGTCTAGTTGGTGGGCTAGAAGGAACCCTCTCTCGGGGGGCTTGGCGAGCTCTAGTGTTGCATCCGAGCTTCATCCTACGGTGTTGAGAGTGGTTTCCTCCTCGAAACCGACACCTCCCCTACTCCTGCATTTTTCACTGCTTCTTGAGTAGCGGTTAGTGATGATTGTTGTGATAATCGATTTCTGTTATATGATCATTCTTGATGGTGTTGGACCGACTGGGGAGACTACTTTAGGAGGTTGTGTGATTCTTATCGAACCTCATAGTAGTTTCCCACACGACGCCGTTCAGCATAAGTGAATGCTAATCTACTAGTCTATGTTCTTCTCTAGTTTTTTTCTCAAACTTTCGAGTCTCCTTCCCGCCGAGGCTTCCTGCTACGGCTCCTATGGCAGAGTCAACCCATTCCTCCACTACTTCCCAAGGCCGACCCAGTGGTGCTGAATCGACAGGCAGCGATTCCGCAACCCCAGAAGGCGCTCCTATTGAGGCTGCTATACGCAGGAGGTCTAAGGAAAGATGGGGTCTGGGCGACAGCGTAGGTGCCTCCCATACGCTGACTTGTGGTAGTCTTCCTATGTAGTTGTATGTACCCTTATCGTCGGCCAACGAGGGCGCGGAGTATGTTGGTCTGGACGTTTCTGAACATATGTTGAAGTCGTTGATGCAGTGGAGATACAATATAAGTAGAGAGAGCTCAATGGGGACAGGCACACAGAAGGACGGCCTCGTTAGTTTGCTCAGTACTATCTAGTTTGGTATGTTCCTTTCGGGTTAGGCTTGTTCTTCTCATTAGCGTCTTTGATATCCTTACAGCGGTCCCTAGCGGCCAGATTGAGGGCGTCTCCTGCTTCTATGGACGCGCAGTTCTTCTGTTGTGATTCTCCAGACTCCGCGAGGGATTCTCAACCACTAACAGTCCTCGCTCCCGAAGGCATAGTAGGACATACCGCACCATCGCCACTTTTACTTTCTGCTAGACCGCCTTGCTTCTGGGAGGCGATGAACCTTACATGGAGCCTCGTTCGCCTATAGCCACGGTGAGCTACTTCGACAGCTCCCAACGTAGTCAGGCCCTAGAGAGTATCGGCTATGGCCCTGACCCGAGCACTACTGCTGAGGACAGTAGGGAGGGTGTAGACGAGAACAATGGTAACAGAGGCAGTCATCACCACCCTCGGGACTAGCTATGGTAGGTGCTTCTATAGAGCAGTCTATGAGTATTGAAGAGCTCTGGGATAAGGTGGGATGTGATCCGATGTTCTCGATTCACGGTATTAAACATGCCTCAGGTCCTCCACGATACATTGTACTTGGACATAGTAGGGGCGACTAACGCCTGCAACAAGCTCATCATCCATCCTGATGCTGATGACTTCCAAGTAGCTCTTAGCAACCGCATGGGGTTGGTCCTGACCGCGGTCACAAGTGTTACTCTAGAAGGGTAAGTATTGGTAGGCCCACGTAGACTGGCTATGTGCCGCCT